AATTTGAATAATAGTTTTTTTGATTGGATAAAACCATTTTATCCAATAAACCATAAAACCATTCCTTGGTAACTCCCTCCCCCATTATCACTTGGGTGTGGAGGAAAGAGATATAACACAAATTGAATGCTACACTTTAGTTGAAGCAGAACATTCTTGAATCAGTGTATTTATGTCCTACTGCCACATTTAATGTGTATACCATACCCCCACATACAGTAGGCATTCTTTCTGATTGTTTTATGCTTTCAGATACATAAGAGGGCTTCCAATATTTGTGGGGATAAATTCAATATATTTCAATTACATATTTCCATGAGTTTTTTGAAACCCTTTCATGTGTACAATGATTAAAAAGATACAGATGCCTGTAAGTGATTACAGAAAAGGTGTTTGTGGGAGTCAAGGGCACAGTGAAAATACATCAAAATGAGGGTGCTCATTATCAGCCACTCATGGTAGAACCTTAGTCTTTTTACCAGGTAAGGTCATCATTAGAGAGTAACAAAATGTTTGTGTGTTTGTGGGAACAACATTTAAATAGCAAACTTGGGATCCAGGGCAGGTTAAAGGAATAAAGGAAAAGATAAAAAAGATTTTTAAAAGACAGAAGAAATAAAGGTTTTTAGACAGAATTTCCAGATGTGGGTGTGCTAATTTTTATCTAGCTGCGTTAGAAGTCAGAAAGGGCGTGCTTTTGGATTGAGAGAGAGGAGAGTGATAAGGTTTCTCAGTAGTGTTAGCAAAGGGGTTCCTGGAGGAATAGGGAGTTGAGGAAGCACAGGAAGGTGCTGAAGACAAGGCAGAATCTAGACAAATTCTATAGATGTAATCAATGCTACTTATGCAGATGGAAAAAAAATTGTTATCAAAGCTAAGGTTACCATCTATAGCTGCAGTAGAGAAATTAGATTTACCTAGTACTCAAAAGAAATAGATGTGGAAAGTAAAGAGAGACTGACATGTTGTTGGTTGTCTTGACAATTTCACCCAGTTAGTGCTTCACATCAGGGCCTTCATGAGGAATTTTTGTCAGGTGATCAAGAGAACTAGCTTTAAAGTATGACTGCGGCCTGAATCTGGGCTCCTCTACCACTTGGTTACCTGTTCTTTTGGGCTGAATGGGAACTTCACATTTGAGTACTGCTTTCTCAGCAGTCAGATGGAAAAACAAATTCCACATGTGCTGGACACCTGCAGCTGTAGTAGGAAAGAGCTGCTGCTGGCGGTGGCACTGGTTTCCACTCTGCTGATATTTGCTTGCCTTGGGGAGTTGGAGACATTGAGGACATCTTCTTGTTTGTACTTGCTGTGCATTGGGAGTTGTTTCCGAAACTGAAGGCACCAAAGAGAAATTCCAAATAAAAATATCATGACCATACATTCAAATTATTTGTCAACAACAGACATTAAAATGCTGCATTTAGGCACTATTGCTTTCACAGGTTAACATCTGCGGTTATATAAAGGTGTTTTCTAACTGGAAACACAGGGAATCCAGGGTGGATGATCCCTTCAGGACTAGTGGTGAGAGGGGCAATACTGGGAGGGTGAAGGGAGAGTGGGGTGGAAAGGGGGAACCGATTACAGGGATCTACGTATGACTTCCTCCCTAGGGAACAGAAAAGTTGGTGAAGGGAGACATCGGACAGTGTAAGATATGACAAAATAATAATAATTTATGAATTATGGAGGGTTCATGAGGGAAGGGGGAGCAGGGAGGGAGGGGGGAAATAAGAAGCTGATATCAAGGGCTGAAGTAGAAAGCAAATGTTTTTAGAATGATGGCAACAAATGTACAAATGTGCTTGACACAATGGATGTACGTATGGATTGTGATAAGAGTTGTATGCGCTCCTAATAAAAATGATGATAAAAACAATAAAATAAATAAATAAAGGAGTTTTCTTTTCTGTCAATGACTACCCAACAACCTAAAAGAAAAAAATATCACATTTTGTTAGAACTTCCTATATAGAATATTGAGAGCACCCTTTTCCCTTTATATTGTATTTGTTAACTTTACCATCCTCAAAATTTGTTTTTTAATTGAAGTTTTGAGAATCATAACATGTAGCAAATGAATGGAAAAGTTGCTTGTTTAAAAGAAATGTGTCAACAACAGCAAAGAAGGAGAGTCTTTGCAAATCAAGCAATTATCCTTATGATTTATGTATTACTGTATTCGTATTTCTTTGATGTTAAATAAAATTACTGGAGATCAGAGCTACAAAATGCACATTCGAAGTTTATGTAACTCTCTCTTCTCATAGGAAAAATCAGACCAAAAGAAAGGCATTTAAACCCCCGTGCTAGAAGAACTAGAATTGGACCCTTCAGTCACATACGCCTTGTGTTTCAAATAAATTTATTGTGGGAAAGTTCATATAACAAAACACTTGCCACTGTGCCATTTTCTATGTGTACAACTTAGTGATATCCATTATCTTCACCGTGGTACCAACCAGCATCACTCCCTGTTTCTAAGAGTCACTCAGCGCCCAGACAGAAAGTCAGGACGCCCTCCACAGTAACTCCCTGTGCCTCCCTCTTCTTCTTTTTTTTTTATATCTTTTTTTAATCATTTTATTAGGGGCTCATACAACTCTTATCACTATCCATACATACATCAATTGTGTAAAGCGCATTTGTACATTCATTGCCCTGCCTCCCTCTTCATTGCCCCTCAGAGCCCCCAGAAAATCTTTGTATATATCACAGGTATTCATGTAAGTACCATTGAGGAAAATAATATATTGCTTTTTCTTATAAACAATAAATTTCATTTATCAAGCAAAATGAGGTTTTTTTGTCTGCAAGTCCATCTTTAATTACTTGTGAGCGAAACATCTTTTTGAAGTTTCTTGTTTACCTAAACATCAGAGATTGACAGATACATGAGGGGCTTCAAAAAGTTTATACAAAAATGCAGTTAAAAGATAACGGAGTTTTTTTCATAGACTTTTTGAAGTTACCTCATATATAAGTATACAATATATATATTGTAGTCATTTTAATGGGGCTCTTATCACAATCCATGCATACATCCATTGTGTCAAGCACATTTGTACATTTGTTGCCATCATCATTCTAAAAACATTTTCTTTCTATTTGAGCCCTTGGTATCAGCTCCTCATTTGTCCCTCTCTCCCTCCCTCACGAACCCTTGATAATTTATAATTATTATTTTTTCATGCCTTATGCTTACCAATATCTCACTTCACCCACTTTTCTGTTGTCCATCCCCCAAGGAAGGAGTTTTATGTAGGTAATTGTGATTGGTTCCCCTTTCTCCCCCACCTTCCCCTTCCCTTCCTGGTATCGCTACTGTCATTATTGGTCCTGAGGGGTTTATCAGTCCTGGATTCCCAGCTCTGATCTGTACCAGTGCCCATCCTCTGGTCTAGCCTGATTTGTAAGGTAGAATTGGGATCACGATCGTGGGGAGAGGAAGCATTGAAGAACTAGAAGGTTGTATGTTTCATCAGTGCTATACTGCACCCTGACTGGCTCATCTGCGACCCTTCTGTAAGGGGATGTCCAGTTGCCTACAGATGGACTTTGGGTCTCCTCTCTGCTGCCCCTCATTCACAATGATATGATTTTTGCTTCTTTGATACCTGGTACCTGATCCTATCGACACCACGTGATCACACAGGTGGTGTGCTTCTTCCATGTGGGCTTTGTTGGTTCTGAGTTAGATGGCCGCTTGTTTATCTTCAACCCTTTAAGACCCCAGATGCTATATCTTTTGATAGCCGAGCACCATCAGCTTTCTTCACCACATTTGCTTATGTATCTGCTTTGTCTTCAGTGGTTGTGCCGGGAAGGTGAGCATTATGGAATGCCAATATAATAGAACAAAGTGTTCTTGCATTGAGGGAGTACTTGAGTAGAGGCCCAATATCCATCTGCTACCTTAATACTAAACCTATAAATATATGCACATAGATCTATTTCCCCATCATTGGATATAAATATATTTACATATGTACTTGCCTGTATTTAGACCTCTATACATGCCCTTTCCCTCCTAGTTCCTTCCTCTGTTTCCTTTTACTTTCCTCTTGTCCCACTATCATGTTCAGCCTTCATTTGGGTTTCAGTAATTCCTCTCAGTTACATTGCCCTGGATCAAACCCTACCAGGCCTCCTACACTTTCCTCGCCATCGATTTTGGATCACTTGTTGTTCCATTGTCCCTGGGGTTGTTAACACCCACTTCCTTTCCCCTGCCTCCCCCTCTCCCATGTTCCCCTGGAACCGTTGGCCCTGTTTTTTTCTCCTTCAGATTGTTTATCCCACCTATCTTATGTAGATAGACCTACAGAGATAATAATATGCACAAAAACAAGACAGAGCAAAACAAAACAACCAAAGAAAAAAAAACTACATTGACAACAAAAAAGCAAGGACAACAACAACAAAGGAAAGCCTGTAAATAGTTCAAGGTCTGGTTGTTCATCTTTAGGAGTGTTTTCCACTCAAGCCTGATGGGGTGCCACGCCCTGGCTCTATTTTTGGTATTCCCTGGGGACTTCATTGCTCTGTTCCCCTTGCTGTTCTTTTGCACCCCCGTAGTGTTTCCCCTCAGTGTGGTGGGGTCAGATGGGACGCAATTCCCGCACTGTGTCTCCAGTGTTGCCCCACATACCTCTATGGGTCAGTGAGGGATGTCATGTCTCCTGGTGGGGCCAGCCCTATGGTCCTCTCTGTGCTTTGGCTACCTCATATATTTTTAATGATGGTAAATTTTTGTTACCTTCAGTAAGTTAAATTATTTCGGATGAAAGTGTTCTATAGACAAATAGTAAGCACGTTCCTTCTCTGATTTAGCAAGTGTTGATTAAATGTTCACTATACAATGAAGCACTTTACTGTTATATGAATTTAGTGAATTCTTTATATTGTCTGTTGTGATTGCGTTAGAAATGGGCCAGCTCGGTTATACAGAATAAATCAGAGTCATATATCACTGAAAGACTCTTGTTCCTCCCTAGCGTCTATCAAATAGTTGTTGAAGAAGAACGTCCTCGAAGAACTAAAAAGACAACGGAAATCTTGAAGTGCTACCCTGTGCCGATCCACTTTCAGAATGCGTCCCTCCTGAACTCACAGTATTACTTTGCTGCAGAATTTCCAGCAAATAGCCTCCAAGCCTCCCAGCCTTTTACTATTGGTGATAATAAGACATATAATGGATACTGGAACACACCTCTGCTTCCCCACAAAAGCTACAGAATTTATTTCCAAGCTGCCAGCAGAGCCAATGGGGTAAGTTTTTAGATGACAGTCTCCTTCAACTATTTAGGGATATTAAGGTGAACGCAGAGTAAGCAAAAATAGTAAGAAACAAAGCTAGGCTTTTGTGTGTTTTTACTTGTAAGCAAGTGCGTCCTCCCCCGTTTTTGGAATTATTTTCATCTAAGGATGTTTGCGAGAAGAAATGAATATACTCGTATACCTTTTTTAAAAAGTATATATTGCCAGCATAATGGTTTTTATTTTCAATTTTTACTGATTACCAAAAATAGGCCATTAACTCTGCTTAGCTAACCATCTTACAAGGAAAATTGTATAACCGCAACACACACAATCAGCTCACTAAAGTTTTTTTGATATTCCTAACATCTGTATTTTAAGCATAATCTGCCCTACTTCCTAGAGGAGCTCTGGTTGCGTAATGGTTACAAATAAGGTTGTGATCTACAAAGTTGGAAGTTTGAAGCCACCAACTCCTCTGTGGGCTTTCTACTGCAGTAAACAGTGACTGTCTCAGTGTCTCCCAGGGGAAGTCCTACCCTGCCCCATAAGGCCACTCACTGTGAGTCAGCATTGCCTCATTGGCAGTCAGTTGAGTGAGTCCCCTTTCCCTGGTTCTGCAAGAGCTTATGCTTCCTATAGCTGTGACTTAATTAGTGGCATTTTCTTGTTGTTGTTCCTAAGAAAAACAGTTTTAGAATGATGAAATGGAAACAAAATAAAACGATTATTGAGTTCATTCCAAAAATGTTCCTTTCTGGTTCTAACTAATCCAGAATATCTTAAGATTTTAGTCTCTGTAAACAAAAGGAAATACTTTTTAAAATGTCTTATTCCTCAGTAGATTTTCTCCTTCAGTGCATGAGTCTTCAGTATATGATTGACTTTACTTTTACCAGTGAAATCTGGAACATCAGTTTCCTTACCAGTGCTGGCACAGAGCGAGGCCAGAGGTGTCCAGAGGAGACACATTCTGCATTTGGCTCCCTTTTTGGGTCCAGCAATGTCCAATACGACCAGGACTGAATTGAGAGACTACTCGCATATCTGAGTATGATTCCATGAGAAATCATTGCAGGATAAAACCACACCTAGACCAATGAGACATTTTCTTTAGTACTACTTGACTAGAAACATTCTTCTAGTCAAGATATTCTTTGTTTCACAAACAACATGATTTTTTTCTTCTTTATTTGTCACAGGAAACTAAAATAGACTGTGTCCGAGTGGCCACAAAAGGTATGTTGAAATTGTTGGATGCTCTCCTCATTTAGGCACCAATGTTTAAAAATGTCCTTACATATGAGCTTTGTTGACAGACGTATGTATGGAAATGTGCATGCATGTCTTATGTGTGTGTAGGTGTATATTAGGACTGTATGGCATTTAACATTGATTAACAGTATTTCATATAGATACCTTTAAAAAATGAGACACTATACTGCTTGCTTTGTTCCAGTTTTCAATGGTTATCTTTTTACTTATTTAAAAAATAAATTTTATACCATCTCAATATATAGTTTTTAAAGGCATTAATAACATTATACCTTGTAGTACTATTTCTAGTGAATCTTCAAATGCCAAAGATTAAAATATAACCTGCTATTCTTAAGTTATTTATTTTATTTACATTTATCTATAAAGTTGACTCTATATTAATTTTCTTCAGTGTGATGTGAGTATTACCGAATCCGGTGACCAAGTGCCCTTACTGTGGAACTTCTATTTCCAAGACTTTGTTAAAACTCTGAAAAAATGAGCTCAAGATAAGATTTAGAAGTGGGTAAGGGAAATATAATGGAATCCTAGTGGTGTGGTGATTACAACTTGGGCTGCTAACCACAAGGTCAGCAGTTTGAAACCAACAGGCTTCTCTGCAGGAGAAAGATGAGGCATTCTACTCCAGGAAAGAATTACAGTCTCAGAAATGCCCAGAGTCAGTTCTACCCTGTCCTATAGGGTCACTGTGAGTCAGAATCAACTAGACGGCAGTGAGAAGGGAACCCTGGTTTCACAACAGTCAAGTACTCATAGGCTATCCAAAAGGCAGGAGGGGAGAAAAGACTATGAGATCTGCTCCTGCAAAAGCTGCATCCTAAGAAATCCTTTGGAGCTGCGCTGTTCTGTTTAGATGCCCACTGAGAGTTGGAATGGACTCTACCACAACGGAGGAACTACTGTGAGCTTAGCACACCAACCCTCCTTAAGGGCAAAGTACACATGTGTATTGTGTGTTAAACTGTGCTGTCATTTTATCAAACTCAGATAATAAATGCTGTTTTCACCATCACATATGATGTACTGGGAAAGGGTATTGAGATGCTTACAATGCTAAATTGATATGAGGCATTATAATTTGACACTTGCATTAAATGTCATCTTTCAGACCTTGAAACCAAGAGTACAATTTAAAAAGTTCTATTTGGTTCAATTTAGAAACAATGTTGTTATTAAACGTGTTCATAGCTTAGTTTGAATATACCATGAATATCTTTATTTTCAAAATCCTCAGTACTATATGGCCTTTCTAGACAGTTACATCTTTCTTGGGTGCATGGTATGGCCCAGGCATTGTGTGAGCAGCTCATCTTATTGGCAGTTTGTCCTGATGAGATCATAGTCCTACAGTCTAGAACAGTGTTTCCCAAAATTAATGATACTACCCACTGAGGTTCACTGGAATAATCCAGCAAAAGCAGATACCTTCATTTTATCCTGCATTATGAACTATAGGACACAAATAGGTTTTTTTTGTTGTTTTTGTTTTTTAATTTTGCTGAAGCTCATTTAATAGCTTTTAAAAAAAATCATTTTCTTGGGGGCTCGTACAATTCTTATCACAATCCATACATCCATCCATTGTGTCAAGCACATATGTACATTTGTTGCCCTCATCATTCTCAAAACATTTGCCTTCTACTTTAGCCCTTAATATCGGCTGCTCATTTCCCCCCTCCCTCCCCCCTCCCTCATGAACCCTTCATAATTCATAATTATTATTGTTTTGTCATAAGTTACACTGTCCAACGTCTTCACCCGCCCATTTCTCTGCTGTCCATCCCCCAGGGAGGAGGCTCTACGTAGATTCCCCCTTTCTACCCCACATTCCCTCTACCCTCCAGGCATCGCCACTCTCACTACTGGTCCTGAAGGAGTCATCTGTCCTGGATTCCCTGTGTTTCCAGTTGCTATCTGTACCAAAGTACATCCTCTGGTCTAGCCAGATTTGTATGGTAGAATTGGGATCATGATAGTGGGGGGGAGGAAGCATTTAAGAACTGGAGGAAAGTTATATATTTCATCGTTGCTACCCTGCACCCTGACTGGCTCATCTCCTCCCCACACCCCTTCAGTAAGGGGGCGGGGGGGGGGGGACACACAAGTTTTTTAATTGCCAAGGGAGGTTACATATTTTTGTTTTTTCCCAAAAAACAGACTTAGGCCAAATAAGTCTGGGGCTGATGGTCTACAATATACTTAAATTGAACCTTAAATACTCAATTCTTCTATTGTACCTTATTCAGTACCTTTTATAGGAATAAATTAATAACTGATGAAATTATCAATATTCATATGTTTTACACACATGTAGTACACTATCAACTATTCATTATCACAATTTTATGAAGCCCTTTCATGATGTATTAATGTCCTTAGCTATCTAGCTATCTGTGCTCAAGAACAAGAATTATAAAATACTGTTTTATTGAATTCCAGTTAGCCTTTAATGATGATCAGCCCGAGTGCCAAATTATAATGCCTTTTATTTAACATCACAGCTTAGGCTTTTGAAATCACTTTAATGCACATATTCTCTAATTCCTTAGCAATACTGAGAGAAAGAAGATAGTATTGTGCAATAAACATAGCCAGTAAAGTGTACTCAGGGCTGGATAATATGCATTTGGACTTCTACACCAACACACCACCACCACCACCACCACTGTTCTCACCCAGAAGAACCTGTGGCTGACTAGGACTTTGACTTACCCATTCTTATAATTAACTGTGAGAATTGTGTCACCATTCTCATGTAAATAAATTATAAATGACACGGTAGGAACTACGGTAATCTGACAAGTTTGGTGTTTTCACAATAAATTGAATTAGATGGTGATTTGCATTATTTTCTCCCACTAGTTGATTTAACCTTTGTTTTTCAATTCAACAAAGGATGATTAGACTAATCAGATGACCTGGTTTACTAAGTATTCCCTACTCATACTTTTGAGTGATTTGCAAACATTTACACAGCAACAAATGCTATCCAGCAAATGCTTTCCTCTTTTGAGGAAAAAAGAAAACAGATTTTTAATATTAATTACATATCCTTGTCATCTATATTTCATAAATGATAGTACCAGAGAAAATCTAGGGAGATATTCTTCTCGGCACAACTCCCCTGATTTGTACTCCTTTATTTTATTAAGTTCTGCATGCACAGACCCAGCAGTACTCCTTGACAGTACCATGCAGTGTTGTTTTATCACCTTTTAAACAGAAAATGCTTCTTAATTTGTACTTTAAAAAGTCCTATTAGAGTGGGAGAATTCGTTTTATGTAGACTACTTCATGAAAACAGAGAAATAGGGAGATCAAATAATTTTATCGGTCTTATATAGTAAAAGTGTTTGAAATTTTAAAGAGTTCAAACATCCTGAGTGTTTTCAACCACATATTGCTGACAGCATGGAGGCTTAATTGAATTTTCAAACATGAAACCACTTTCCCTAGTAGCATTGATAATTTTTGGAGATTTTAATGTTCTTATAAAAAAATACCGTTGACAAGTGTGGAGGTGGATTTGTTTTCATAAAGAACTCAGTTTGTAATTTCAAGTAAGAGTATGGCTCTTAAAATTATATTTCATACTATTTATACATTTAATGTTATGATTCATTTAATCATATTCCAAGGTTCTATTTTGACACCAACCATCTCAACTATAAAACCTCATAAAAATTAGAGACAGGAAAAATTTAAGGTATGTATTATATATCTCCACGTGTATAGAGGCTTGCCTGTATTTAAATTATACATATAGATGAGTTCCCAGTATTATATGTGAACATAGTTGACTATAAGCAAATTCATCATACAATAGTGTTACTCTTCAGTTCAAAGGTAAAGACACCATACTATAGGGTATACTCAATGTTTGGATGTTATCCTTTTATTCAAAGACACAATGAGGTGAATTAACAGACTTTCACTACTGAATTTTCAAAAACTTCGTTTTTTAAATCACAACTAATATGTATGTTTTCTTTAACTTTTATACTCCTCTGACTCCCTTGTGGTAACTGGTGAGACGGAAGCTTTCCTGCTTGTTTTAGAGAGCTTTGCAACAGGCACTTCTAAACAGAGGGAACACACTTAAAAATAAAGCCTGTCTTGTAGCAAATTAGAGTTCCTGTGTACACTGATGTTCTAATGTATGTAATAAGCAATTTAAACTTTACACATTATCAAATCTTTTATAAAATTATATTTTCCATATGATGATGCCTCCTACATTTGTCCTGAACAATATAGCCATTTGCAAGCACCCTTATTACTCACTTATTTTTAAATTATTTGATTGGCTATTATATGTTAGTCAGAAAATACTCTGAGATGTCCAGATACAGAGACATACCACCTTTTACATTTTGAAGCGTTTGATTGCCTTGATCACATTTCATTTGGTTTAAAGAGGAGTGTGCAGTCACACGAGTCAATCTGTTCCTGTCTGGCTGTTACCTGTCCAGCAGGAAGGTAGCTGGAATTTAAAATGAAGAATGTCTGCAAACACTTGTCAGATGTTTCCCAGAAACTAGTCGAGAAGTCAAAATGTAAACCTTCAACAAAAACAAAACAGACCATTATCCTAGTGCTATACTTAAAAGTAAATCTTTTGTGCAGCAATGCTTCAATGTTTGTAAGCTTACTATATTACTTAACTTACATTTATAATGCAATATGCATTTGCTCTGCTGTGAGACCTTCAGAAAACTGTGAAGGATTTTCATTGTCCCTATACAATTCCAAACTATATTCAGAAATTTGAATTTTTAAAAATCATTAAGCTTCATGAGAAATTTCTCTAGACTATTTCTGTTCACTGTTTGTTCAAAGAAATGCTATTCTTCTTAGGCAACCATGTTAGAGATTGAATGTATCCTAATGAAAGAATTGAAAAGAAAGTCTATTGAGATATAAAACAATGTAAAATTCCTTTTAATTACTTTTATTTAATATATGGAAATGTGCTCATCTTTTAATATTTAGCTATGAATTTAGCAATAGAATTATATATTTATTTATCATTCAACATCTTGTAGAAAAGATTTTTATCTTAATCTGAGTCTTCTTAATGTGCATCTTGAACATATTAAGGCCCCTGAGAAGTTCCTAACAAGAAAATAAGAAATCTGTTTAACATTGTTCAATCTTGTTTCTAAAATTTACCAGACCAAAACTCATTTTTCAAAGAATAGTAGATGAACCCAGTTTGGTAAATGCCAGTTCATCAAATTCCAAAAATATCCTGCTTTTATGCAAAAGAAGTGGCACTTTAGTAGTCTGATAGACTCAAAGTATTTTTTATTCTTCCATATATTCCTTCATACCTAAAAGAGACCTAAATTTGTCCACATCACATATCTTCATAGTATTACTGTATAGGACAGGAGTTTCTTATTTTATAGAAAATTATGATTGTCTCTTTTATAATGCATTCTAACTGATAGTATTTTAAGGCAGTATCAATTCCCTAAAGGGACCAGACGAAATAGGTTAGGTTTCTAGCCATTTGGTTGGGTCACAAATACGGATGGATCTCTGCCATTGCATTGCAAAATCAACCATAGCCAATGCCTAAGCAAATGAATATGGCTGTGTTGCAATAAAACTTTATTTTCAAAAACAAGCAGCAGACCTATTGAACCTTTTTGAAAGTAATTCATAATCACAAGATTTTTCTTTGTAACTGAAGATTATAGGCATTTACAAGCAGTTTACAAAAGAGAACGCAGACATCATATCAAAGTCTTCTCTGATCCTTGGGGTATAATTTTGACATAGGAATCCTTGATTGGGAGCCTGTGGTTGAAGTTTGGGTTCCTTTTTGTTTGTGAATGCATAGCTGCACTGCATAGTTGTTTTTCCAGTAAACTTTTGTTTAATTATTTGTCTTTTCTGATGCTGGCTAGTGCTCTGCTTTTTCTATAACCCTGTGGCATTTGTGAAGTGGGTAATATTTTCCTGGAAGTAAATGAAAAACCACACACAACTATTGGTTAGATAATAATAGTCTATGATTCAAGCAAGAATGTTAAATCTATGAAATTTTAAATTGTCACCCAATTTGGAACAAGTCTTAGAAATAGCATGCTATAGTATACAACTTATTCTCTCAGTATGCAAAATTGCATGATACACCATATAAAGAAAATGATGTACTTAATGGCTTGGGAATTCTCCTTTCTCTAACCAAAATGTTAGTTTATTAATCTAACTTAGTAATAGTAGGATGTTTTCATTAATAATGTGTGAGCGACTACTAAACCCACTGTCTACAGTTGTCTAGTTACAAGCAGCAGCACTATTTGAATGGTGCAGAGGGATATTTCAAAATATTATGCAGCAGCAGTTTTGAATTTAATTGTCTGCAGATGGTCGATGATCTATTTTCCTTACTCCCTGCCACATTTCTGATAGCACTCAGGCTGTTCCATGTAAATTAGTAATCTTTCATGTAAGCCTGTCCTTAATTTCCCAATATTTGTTTCTTTGCATCATTTTCCAACTGTATTACGTTAATTTTCTACTTTCAATTTTGTCTTTTGATATTTGTGTGTCATAATTGTTAGCCACTGAAGCACAGCCACTGAGCTGTGCAGGCAAACCAAGAAGCCCCCAAGGTCAGCGTCAAAAATCTTAATCTTGTCTTTGGTTACATGTCAGCCAGGACAACTGTCGCAAAAGTAATTACTAGTTTGTTTTTTTAATCAATGCTTGCATCTTAATTTGATAAAGTAAGGCTCCTTTAATGCGATTACAGTGTTACAGAAACTTTTTCTTCATAAAAATGACTCTAATGATAATATTCTTCACAAAAGGTGATTTTAGTGGGGAAATAAATATTATGATATTTTTAAAAACTTAAAAAGTTCAAAAAGCCTACAATTTAGCTTAATACACTACAACCAATAGCAGTTGGAAACACTATTCGGTTTTCAGACTTCTTTGGGACTGTAATGTCGTTTTGTTTTTTACTTTTTTGGAATTTCTTTCAATTGATCAAGATCTCAGCCAAAGCTTACAACTGTATCATACTTAATAATCAGCCTGCCTGACTAAAGTTTGTTTAAGAGAAAAGATTTCACGAAATCAACACCTTGCTGTCTTTTTTCTATTTGTTGTTGGGACAAGGTAGAGACAATTTGGTATACTGATCAAGATTCTTGCTAGCCTAGCTTCAGTCTGGCTTTTTTTTCCCTCATGCATGCTGACCTGGAACTCTTCCTTTGCCTTAGCTGCGATAATCGTGACTCAGCTTACAACACCATACATTCGCATCGCCCCTGCCGCAGGCGACGACCAACTACCAGGTCAGATGTTCAAGTACAGATGAGTCATCTTGCCCATTTCCTTCTCATTTTTCTCAGCTTTGTTTCCCTCTACATTTCCTCCCTTGCTCAATCAAGGCTTGTTGACAATGTTGCAGACCTCTGGTCCAGACTTATGCCCTTATTAAATTAAGTGATATGCTTGGCCTCTTCTATGTGCACATGTATATTCATGCATTCAGTACAACTCCACTGCATGTTCTCATTGTGTGTTTGGTCTGTTGGTATGTTCCTTTCTAGCCTAATGTTGTATAGAAATGAAATTTTCTGGACTTGCTGTAGCAATGACATCAAACAGGATTTCAGATAAAATACATGAAGATATATTCCCAGTTTTCCAAATTAATCTAAAAAAGGCTTTGCAATTTGAGAGTGAGAGAGGTTGATTTTTCCCTTTGAAGAGGCTAGTTTGCCCATGCATTTAGCAACGCACAGTTTGGCCTGTGGTGTTATTAAATGAAGTCACTCAGAGCTGTCTGCGGTGATGCTGTTCAAACAGCTTTGCACGTGCGCACAACTGGGGCAGAGCTGATTGCATGCTTTGTAGAGCCTTCTTCCAAAGCAGAGTGCTTATATAAACCAGACACATCTGCAAGTCAAATGCATTGAATAATTTAGGAAAGTTTTATTTTTAAATGAATGGCTTAAAGTCATGGAGTTGAACTACGTGCTTCTTTATAACAAGAGAAACTAGCTTGTTCATTCCTGGTGCCTCTAAAGGTGGATGGACACTCCGTAATCTCATCTAAGAAAAGAGTCCAGTAAGTTATTCCAGATTGAAGGTGAGTGTCAGAGAATCTCAGAGCAACTTTTGGCCTACAACAAAGGCAAGTTAGTGTCAAAAAGTCCACATTAATTTATGAACAGGGCTCAAATTCCAGTTTCTGAAGACCAGCAATTGTATTTTGTTGCATGATTAAAACCAAGCAAATAACAGTCACCTGTTTTCCATAAAATTGTCACTAGCATGATTTTTTTACTTAACGATGAAACTCAGGAATATTTCTTAACCCTTCCAAAAGTGATAAAGATTCACTCATGGTAAGAAATCCTAAGTGTGTAGGTAATTCTATGAGCTTCTTATTTTGGAAAGCAAAACAAATCAGGCTCAAGAAAATTATAGACTAGTTTTATAAGATATTCCACTTCCCTGTCCATTTTCAGCCCTCTATTTGAGGGTCTGTGAACAGTAAACCTATCTGACATTTCTGCTTCCCGGACATTAAAGGTTTTCTTTTAAGCATATTTCTTCTAGCGATTAAAGTTCTACAGGTTACACACTCTCTCGTAACCTGAACTTCTGAAGGCTTCTTCAGGGGCAGTTGTCTGTCTTAGTACAAATTCTTTCCTCTAAGCCTTGACGTCTAAGAAATATCCCCTGGAGATCCTTGTAGTGTTAGGTGTCCATCTGCAAGGTTATCTGGAGTCCCTCAGCTAGTCTGCCGTCCAATTATGTCTCAGTTGGCACTAGATTTTTCAGCAAATTGCCCACAAATGACTTGGTCATGCAACAATAAAAGGAATATTCATGGGACTATATAGCTCCTCGCGTGGGTTTTAACTATTATACTATCATATGAAGTAGCATGAACTGGAACTTCTAAAATTAGCTTTCTCTTGTTAAGCTTGCATGATTACGAAGGTACATGTCCAGTCAGCCTCCGCCATCAGGCTGATCGACCCTTTCTGAGTGATCATTTTGAAGCCAGTATATAAAAATCACACAACTGGTTACAGTATACGGCACCCTTTATTTCAGGATGCGAGTGAGCTACATTATTTATTTATGTTCATTAAGGATTAACATGATGAAGTGTTAGAATAAGCTTCAAATCCCAGGGTTTTTAAAAAAATATATAATACTCTTGGTCTTCATGGCTAATCTTGCTCCTATAAATGCCAACTCAAATTATATTTCTTGTATATTTTTCATTTGGATAAGTGATCAATTTTGATGGAAATAACATTGTTTTGCATAGATTTATTCACGAGTCATACTTCCAGCCTGGAACTAAATTCATTCTATTACTTCTATGACATTCACTGAGCACCTTCTGTGGGCCAGGTCTCGATCCACCACCTCTTCTAAATAGTTTCATTTCGTGTGATTCCCCATACTTAGCATCAACACCTATCTACGCACAAACTCTCAGGTAGGAAAAGTACTATCATTTAGAAAAGTAAAGGAAATACAAATTTTTTAACTGATGGAATAGAAAAAAACATGGATTTCAAATGTCTGTGTGGTCGTGTTGAACAACTTCAGAACAGATCTGAGCATCTATCCCCCATTACCAGTTGTCATCCTGATAACTAGATCAGTACTGCCCCTTCTAAAGACCACTAGGACGGATACATCAACATGCTTACAGCTCTGTTTAGTTAGTTTGTTTGTTATAATTCTGTTGCATATGCTCCTATAAATAACATGCTACTTTGTGCTTCATAACACCCAGAACTTTAAGAAACCTTTACATAATACTTCTGGGAGACCTGGTTTGGGTAGATAGGTCCTCCGTACTTTGTGTAAAACCAAATGAAGCCGGGATCTTGTTCCCTGACGCCAGTATATAGGACTGTTCCTCTGTGCCTCACACTGAAGAGAGGTCTTGGTACACACATGTTGACTTAATTGGTTGAATGACTAGCCTGAAACCAGAAGAGTCCAAAGAAGCAGATCAAAACATAGACTGTTAGTTAATATGATTGATAAACTCCCCATCACGGCACTAGAGGGTACTTTTAAGGCTTTTGTCCTCCATACATAGTAGAAAATTCACCATCATTTAACATACATAATGCAGTGGGGATTAAAGTTACAAAATATTGCTGTAAGTAATAGAACATTTATTGGATAAAAATATCAAAATATGAAGCTATTGTCTCTTGATATATCCTCTATGTAGAGATAATTACTTCTGAAGACAGGCCTTCTGTCTCGCTAACTTTCCATGAAGAATCCTGCACTCTGATTTGCCCGTGTCAAATGACAGTTTTGACATCCTTGCAGGACTTAAATCTTGTTCCTTTTCAAGGCTCTCTGAGTTTGGAAAACAAAGAGAAGTTGGAAAGATCAAGATCAGGGCTATAGGCTGGATGCGGTAAGGTTTCTCAATTGACTATTCTTCTTATAGGGCAGTCATGGCTACAATCAATGAATGAACAGGGGCAATGTCATGTTGGGAAAAAATCTATCAGCACCATTCTCTTGGTCTTTTTTCCACCAATGCAGTTTTCCATTTTCTTGTATCTTCTCTTAACAAGCCCTTGTGATTGCCCTGTGTTCTTAGATAAACTCTTTGAAATCTCAAAAATTAATACCATAACTATCTCTGCTGATCTTTCTCCCTTAAATTAGTGACCCAACATTTCCCTTCAGAAGCCTCTGCTTGGATTGTGCCCCACCCCCACCCCGCCTTTTTTTTTTCCTTTCTGAAAGTACCCAGAGTGACCAGGACAAATGTGTCACGGAAAGTACTTGTCTGCAGACATCCACTGATTGCACAGACATATTTAAACATGTTTTATTTGGAATAAAAAATACATATATGAGCTGAAGCCTGAATAATAATGCAGGGGTTTTTTTGTTGTTGTTGTTTTACTTGCACTTACTCCCTTGCATACACCTCTGTTAAACTGAAAACATGCATAGATTTAACAGAAACCATAGCTGTGAGCAAGTGTATGAGCACTGTGTATAGCTTATGATTCCCTTTGAATTGCTTTTCTCTCTTCTAGTTCTCTTTCATTTTGAGACAGAAATTCTGGTTACCACTTACTAAGTCACTTTTCTTTCCCACAGTTTGTTTTATCCTCACTGTCTCTAAGACTGATTCACAGCAACACTATCGGGCTACGTCGAACTGCCCTACTTGGTGGCTTTCCGAGACTCTAAATGTTTATGGCAGTAGAAAGCCCCATCTTCCTTCTGCAGAGCACCTGGTGGTTTCAAACTATAGACCTTGTGGTTAGCCACCACACAGCATAACAGTCTTTTGCTAAAGTATTGAAATTAGACTGTGACAGGGAGCAGAACATATCATTAGAATGAATATTCTACCACAAAACTGTTATCTAAAGACTATATTTGGAGAAAGTTATAGAAGCTAAACTTGCCTCTAGTCTTTACCCTGTTTCTTTTAACTTGTGATAACACTGACCCTGATATAAAACTGCTTTGCAGTTTGGGGGCAGGTGGTTGAGAACTGAATACATTAGAAGTTTCTCTTATGAATGTTTGTTCATTTAAAAAATGTCTAAGCCATCTATTTTATTTAAGATACTTTTACTTTGCTTATAATTTAATAATCGAGCCAACTACAAGATGCTGTGGAAAATGTTTCTCTAAATACACATTTTATCATCCATTTTAATAAACCCATATATGTATATGTTATGATCTATATCATAGAATATTTATAAACCAAGCAACCTCTGTGGGGCAAGTACAAATTGGATATATCAGAGCATGGAGAATTTCATGATAGATCTAATTGCTACTTTTAAAAAAGAGTGAGAGATGCCCAACAATCATTCCCACATAAAATTCCAAGCTTTCGAAAAGATTTCCAACTCACGACAACCTTGCATATAGGAATAGCTACCAAACTGTGGTAACTTTGTGTTGTGGTGATATTGGAAGCATTGCTACCAGTATTTCAAGTACTAGCAGAGTCATCCATGGTGTGAACAGATTACTGCCAAGCTCTGAGAATAGGAACGGCCTAGGAAGAAAGCAGAGGGAGCCCACGCAGCAGAACATTTCTCTGAGACAGTGCTGAAGGATGGAGCACTCAGGTTGGAAGGCGGGAGAAACATGGCTGGAGAAGAGCTGCCAGCTGCCGCCTAAAGATGAGTCTCCCTTCTTAACCTGGATAGAGAATGTTTGGGGGACCTTTATTCTCCACCAGAATGAAAAGAAACAGCTAGAAACATCCATCGATATCAGGAATGTACAAAACATTAGGAATTAGGAAAAGAGG